AAAAAAAAAAAAAAAAAAAAAAAAAAAAAAAAAAAAAAAACCTTTTTGTTGCCAATCGGGAAAATACATTAAAAAAAAAAAAAAAAATTTACATTTGGGCATTCTGACTTTGTTCCGACCTTGGAACATTAAGAGCTTGTACTTAAAAAATTTAATTTGTAATATTAAAGTTTATAGTTCAAAAGTCTTTAACTGTCATATAGATTCACCATCATTTTCTATTCTTTTTCCGTGTCCTAGTTTTAGTAATATGTGGCATGATGTTATCGTTATCCCCAGCAACACCAATGTCATCACCATCATCATCGTCCTCCTTTGATTCAGCTTGACACTGCCATGACTTTAATTGGCTCACATGAGCTGTCGTACTAAAGAAACGTCCTTTCACCTTCTCTTCTAATTGAATCACTCTATAGGTGTCATTTGGCAAAGCTTCTGTAACTACCAAAGGTCCTCGATACTTTTATTGTGTTTTGGTTGATTCTCCAGTTGATTTAGGTACTCTTCTCATAACTACTATTTCTCCTCGTTCGAATGTTAAAGAATTGCTTTTCTTTTTGTCATAATTTGCTTTCATTTTCATCTGCATATCTTCAATTCTTTTTCTAGCTTCGTTCTGTAAAATTACTGGATTCTCCCATTCATTTGTGTCTTCATCTGTAATCATCCTCATCAATCCGTCTTTGATTTCCCGTCTTTTGGTAGCTTTTACTGCTACCAAAGCCCCGGCCTCAAAAGGTTAATTCTAATTTGCTTGAATGATAATTCTTTTCTGCTTCTGTTGTTTCTTTACTTACACAATAAACTAAATGCCACTTTTTAACTTCACTTTTTTTGCAACAGCATTCCTGCCAGCCCTTTGCTGCTCGCATCTGTGTGCACTTCGGTCTTTGCTTCCAGATTATATAACGCTAGTACTGGTTAATTAGTTAAATGGTCTTTTAAAGTACTGAATGCTTCTTGCTGATCTTCATTCCAATGAAATGTTTTATACTTCCTTGTGAGTCTGGCTAACGGCTCAGCTTTCTCTACATATTTCAGTACAAACCTTCTAAAGAAACTTGTAAGACCTAAAAATTGTTTAACTTCATGTTCACTGATTGATTTAGGAAAAGTTTACTATGGCTCATACTTTTCTTGGTCCAGATTGCATACCATTCGATTTTATTAGAAATCCCAAATACTAAACTTCATCTTTTCCAAATTCTCATTTTGTCAGTTTCAATGTTAGCTTTGCTTCTCTCAATCTATCAAACACTTTTCTAAGTTTTCCCATCATTTCTTCCCAAGATTTAGCCGGAATTAATATGTTGTCCAAATAGCACAATACTTTTTTTATTAAGCAATGGACCTAAAACTTGATTCATAAGTCTCTGAAATTTTCCAGGAGCATTAGCTAACCTAAAGATCATATGTTCAAGTTGACCAGTATCATCTGGAGTGATGAAAGCTATTTTCAGTTTCGCTTCTTCAGTTAAAGGAATCTGTAAATACCCATGAGCTATATCGAATGTAGTGAAAACTTTACATTCACTAAGACATTTAAGAAGATCATCTATCCTAAGGAGTGGAAATTTATCTTTAACAGTTTGCAAATTCAGCTTTCTATAATCTACCACTAATCGTAGTTCACCTGTCTTTTTCCTTACGAGTAAAACTGAACTAGCATACAGAGATCTTGTTTCAGGAACAATTCCATATTTCTTCCATTCATTTATTATCTTCTTTATAGAAGCACGCTCCTCGGCATTGATTTTATACGACTTCATGCAGATAGGCTTACTCCCTTCAGTTTCTTTAATATCTATTTTTGTTAAGTTTGTACACCCTAATTCTGCCATTTCTTCCAAAACAATCTCGATACTCATTTATTAAATATAAAATTCCCTGTTTTCTCTCTGGCATAATACTGTTATTAACTTTAATTTTTTCTACAGTAATCGGTCTCTTAAACTTCTTAATTTCATTTACTACCATTATTTCCTTTTGATTTGAATTTTCAGTTTTCTGATTTGGACTTGATTCAAATAATTCTGCTACTTCCGCTCTACAGATACATTGATTCTCTTTCAAAAGTAATTTTCGATCGCTGTAGTTAGTGACTGGTATCACTGTTTCTCCCTGTATTACTTCCAATAATGAGCCCAACTCATCTTCCAATCCAATTATTACAATATAACCATTATTTACTTCATCAGTTTTAACTTACTTGAAATTAACCGTACTACTTTCGATTTCAGTTTCTTGGGAAGCCCTCAGTTTAATTTGCAGAGTGTTGATATCATTTTGCAACTGTGAAAATGAACAAAAATTAGCATAGCGTATGTGCAAGGTATTACCTATCTTGACATATGCAATATGTGTAAATCAATCCATGTTCGACCAACTAATAAGTCGCATGGTTGTGTTGCATCTCTTACAATTAGAACCGTAATGTCCTTTCCTTCCACATTATCAATCTCTAAATTAACAGTTACTTTTCCCAATGTTCTAGCGGCTGGTTTACTCAGGTTTCCAAAGCCAAACAATTCTTTATATCAGGTTTTATAATGAGATTCAGTTTCTTAGCCACAAACTGTTTCAATAAACACGAACTAGAACCCGTATCTATGATTGCAGTAATTTCTTCTCCATTACTGATGCAAGCATACTTTAAATATACAGTTGGTGAAACACCTGAATTCTGGTTCACAGATAAATGATTTTTAACATTTGTCAAGTCTGAACTCTTAGATGTACACTTTTTAAAAGTATGACCCTTTTTATTACATTTCCTGCAAATAATTTCTTTTTTAGGTTGAGAAAAATCCATTGCCATATGTCCATAATCATTACAATTGAAGCATTTCGGCTCACCCTTTTCATTGCGGATACTAGAAATATATTCCCTTTTCCTATAATCTATTTTATAAAATTTATCTCTAAAATTGTATTTATTATCAAAATCGTTTTTAAAACTCACTTTGAAATTACCATCTGTCTGCATAGAATCGTTAACATTTCTGGATCTTGAATACTGATTATAGGATCCCTCAGAAAATTTAGAACCAAATTTAGGCTTAGGATTATGCCTAAAAGTTTTGTTTTCTATTTGAAGTACTTTTATCCCAGTCCGAATATTTTCACATTCATCTAGTTTTTCAGCTAACTCTTCAGGATTAATGAATTTAGACCAATCATCAATGAAATGATCTTGTATAGCAGCTGGGACCCTTTTCTTTAATTGATCCATAATAATAAGTTGTTTTAAAGAGTCAAAATCTGTTACATTTAATCCAGCAAGCCACTCTTCAAAATAATTTTTTAATTCAAACGTGAAGTCTCTCCACGTAATACGTAACGTTTTAATATGATCAACGAACTTTTGCTGAAACTGTTCAGGGCTTAACTTAAATTTTCTCAATAACAGTTGTTTAACGTGCTCACAGTTGTTAACTTTTACTTCTGATTCACAGGCAATTAATTGAGTTATTCATAAGGCAATTGACCCAACAGCTGAGAAACCCAATTATATTCTTCTAACCCAATTTGCTGTGCCTGTCTCTCAAGACTAAATAAAAACTTATATCACCTTTATTCAAATCATATTTATGCATTAATTTACTCATATCACAAATATTACTTCTATTAACATTAGAAAGAACAGAATCATTAACATTACTACTTCTGATTTCCGCTTCTATTTTCAATTTTTCAAGTTGAAATGTTCTTTGCTTAAGTCTGAGTTGAAATTTCCATTTAAATGTGCTCTTTGCTTATCTCTTCTAAAATTTCCATTTTAAATGCTCTTTTGCTTATCTTTAGTCTAAAATTTCTAACTTTTACCTGTCTAAATGATCTTTACATAATTCAATATCTAGCATTTTGTCTTAAAAGCAAAATTAGTAGTATTTCTAAAGATTCAACTAGCAAAGTCAATATAGTCAGTTCTAATATTCAGAAGAGAAAAGGCTAATATCATCAAGGACATCTAACAAGTTCCAAGGCAAGTTTTTTTTAAGTCACATTTCTTGCCCCTTGCCAAATAAGCCATCTTAGACTTCAATTTTCAAATAATAATACAAAAATTATACTTTTAATACTTTTAAATACCATTTAATACTTAAACACAGCATAAACACTTTATAGATGCATTTACCTTTCTACCTTCAGTTTTGGCGAGCTTCCGCATTCAGTTTAGGCTTAACTTACATTAAGGCAATATGTTGTTAAATCCTAGGTAATAATTCTAGTTAATCCCACTTCTGAAAATGCTAGCAATTACTTCCTTTATTTAAAAACATTTCCGTCAAACATTCCCATTCTAATTGTTAGATACTTGCTTTATTCAGAAACACTGCCATCAAACATTACCATTCTATAAAAATAAATAAATAAATAAATAAATAAATAAAAAAAACTCTGTTGTTGCCAATCATAATAATACATTAAAAAAAACATTTACACTATGTATAAATTTATTATGATTGCAAAGGGTTAAGTCAATTCAAGCAATCCTAGTAACCAATTTAAGCATATAATGTTTATTGCATATTTATGGCAGAATGGCATTTAGTTTATTAAGCCATGTTTTCATCACCTTTGTGTCCAAGATTATCACACATGACAAGATTTTTGATACACAATTATGGCCTTGAGACACAAAACATGCCTTACAATGTCAAAATTTCTCAAAAGCAAAGAGACCAAAGTCTGCAATAATGATAGAACTGATAATTTTTTTCCCACCTGAATTGAATTCAGTCTTTTTTTCTGTGATGCTTTCAAATAACTAAGAGATAAAGTTCATTTCCCCCTCATTGAAAAAAAAAAAGGTATTTATGGTATTTATTTTGAAGGAACAAGTGTTTTATTTTTCTTTATTTTTTCTGTTTTGTTTTGTAAATTTGGGTTGGTTTTGTCTGTTGTTTCTATAGTTTGCCTAGAATTGAAGTTCACTGAGAAAGTATTTAAATTTATGCAATAAAAACCATATATAATAAATACTATTTCAAGTTTACCTCTGGGTGGCAACATAAATTCTTCCTTGAGCTAAGACACAGTCCAACAATTCTATTCACTTGGCCAGTTTCATTTTCAACGTATGTAAGCAAGCGGCGAAGCTCTTCAAGTACCTAAGAGACAGAATTAAATATATAGCTAATTAAATGAAATTTTATTGTCTACAGATGAATATAACAAATATATAAATATCCATCAACCATTAATTTAGAAGTCAAACAACAAAAATCAGCGTTATATTTTCAAATTATGCTGATTTTTGTTGTTTGACTTCTAAATTAATACTTGTTTGATGTGCTATTGTGTCTTAATTATCCATCAACTACTCTACTAATTTTTTTACATTCAGCAAACATCAATTATAACTCAATTATACATGAAAAATACAATCTAATTAATATTAAATACCTTAAGCATGAAATATATAAGACATTTAAGATAATTTAAATAAATAAGCAATAATTTGGAAAGATGTGGAAATTAAAATTACATAATTTTACAAAAAATATTACAATGGTTTTCACACAGTTATGTAATCAAAAATATTTTAAATAGCATTTTTAATTTGATTAAGCATGACTACCAGTAGTGTTCAGCACTGCTTTCTATTTGTGCTTTCAGAGGCAACAGTCACCTTAAGAGTTGGCTCCATAAGAAATTTTACTACATATTTTTATAACACAGGACAAAATTCAATTAGTGATATTCATAAATGAACAAAGACCATCTGTTTCATATATCAAACTATCAATATGAATAAAAACCTAATTTTCTTTATATTGATACTTTGAATTTTAGGTAATGAAAAAATGAAAAATTGTTAAATTTTTAATATAATTTCTGAACATACATCTAATTTTCTACAAGGCCTGTAACAATGTTATAAAGAATGGTAATAAAAAAACACCATAATTTTAAAGATAACCTGCCCTTTTAATAAGCTTTTATCTCTTTTCAGTCACACAACCTATGATTTTTCTATGTGTAAACTGTGGCTAAAGATTGACTAATTTAACAATCAACTAGTATTTCTTTATAAAAGAAGTCACTAATATAAATGATAAATAGCATAATATATTACTGTGGTATGATAAAAGCTACATATTTATATAACCATAATAATGATATAATATAATCAGCATCAGAGGCTAGTCCAGTCAACCTCAGTCACGTCTATGCAACCAGTCAAGTGATGTTTGCAACTGGAACATTTTCCAGTTGCTAACATAACTTAACTACAGTTATTGCAATAATGCCTTTTCCTCATAAAATTCCATAACTTTATGATAACTTGGTACAAATGAAATGCTTTGCCCACAAAAATTTTATTATTCCTTGAACTTTACAGAAAGTTCCAAGTTGATACTTTATTTTGCTCTCCTATTACAATATATCTTTAACCTTTATTACAATGAAATGGGCTCTCTAAGATACAGATATAAATTCAATTTTGTGCATGTGTCACTTTTTCTGTGCAATTCTGCCAAGTTCTGAAGAAGAGAATCATATTTAAAATTATTACTAATTCTCTTATCCCTCTGAACTAAAACTCCCCAGCTTATTCCTTTGATGCTTATATTCCCAAGATATCCAAAACAGCCCCAAGATGGTAACATTGCCTTCTATAAGAATGACTGGTCTATAAGGTCAAAATTGGCTGTTTTACTTGAAAAGCTAGAGGAAAAGCTATTTCATTTTTAAAAATTCAAATACATACCTTCTCAATTTCAGGAATGGTTCGAGAGCAGTATACCAACTTACTCACTTCAGATGGATATGCCTAAAATTAAATAATAATAATAAAACTATTACTGTCTAAACTATTAAGACGTAAAGGCACATTAACAATGCTCCTGTCCATCTTGCTCAAACAAGGAGGGACAAGAGCAGGAAATACGTGATACATTCCAACTTTTATATATATTAACCAAGTTTAGCCTGCTGAATGCTACCCATTTTTTCAATTTATAAAATTTCCATGCCATGAATATGTATACTCATTCATGGCACACAAATAACAAACTTTATAGACAGTAGTAGTAGTCAACATGTAAAAACAAAATATATCTTAAAAAAAAAAAAAAAAAAAGATAATGAAATTGGGAGAAAAATATAAATGGAATTTTTAAATTTTACAAAAGACATTCCTACTTAAAGCTTAAAAATTATTATGGTCATGGTTACCAGAATTTTTCACATTCTGAAAACTGAGTCACTTCTGTTAAAATGGCTATTCTAATATATAAGTACCAAATCATTTAAAAATATTTCTTTTAATAATTTTCTCTACATTCTGAAAAATAAACAGAACTTAACCACTTAAAGTATTGATATCTAGCAGGTAATTCATTTCTACTATACAATCTGAATCAATAAAAACCATCTGAATAAAATTAATTAGATTTTGGATTAAAAATAAATGAGAAAAAAGGGGGTAGTAAACTTTCTCGCATAACAAACAACAGCACTGCACTACTCTTTTTTTAATTTCTTTTATATGAACCCATTCAATCATATACTCTTGTAAATTAATACAACTGAAACAAAACATGTGAACTACTTTATATTAGGTATATTAAAATTGCATTGTAAAAACTAGATTATATGAATCATGTTTTTTAAATCTATATAAAATTCAAAATTGCAAATTTTTTACAAAATACCTTTTTGAGTTTTTTTAATTTTTATAAATACTATGAATATTTCTATTTAATAATAAAAGTACATCATTTTCACAATAACATCAGTGCAATATTTACATTTTTATACCAAAAAGTATATCATTTGTAAAGTATTTTTTTAATTTTAGCTCCATAATTGTTACATTGTTAGTAAAAGTTAGGTATTATTAAAGTAATACTATAGCATATGAATCTGCCACAATTTTAGAAATAGCTCAAAAAAGATTGTATATCATAAGTTTCTAGTAAATGCAACACAAAACAGTTAACCTTTTTAAAGTAAATTATGCATCTGTTCCTAGAGAAAATCAACCAGGAAATATTCATAGTGTAGCACACAGAAAGAAAAAAAAGAAAAAGTGCTAAATTGCTTTTTAAAAATTGAAATCTTTCCTATGATTCCTAAAAATTCTGGTTTCTTGAGTTTTCTTCATATCTCTTCCTTGAATTATTGGAATCCAAGATAACAGCAATGTCTAACACTGCAACTTCGTACTTTCTATGTATGAGTACTGCAGCTCAACAGATTTAATCCCAAAATTAGAACATGTACAGAAAGATGAAATGAGAAAGATAACAGAATAAGAAATAAATATAAAAGAAAAATAAATATAAAAGAAAAATAAATACAAAATTATAAAATAAAATTACAAAAAGTAAGATTGAATGAAAAATGTTTTGAATCTTAGCTTTAAAGAAGTCAGCGTTGGGATAGTACATATGACCAGCATAAATTTTAAAATCAAATACACAACTAAATTATAGATGAACTGAAAATACATATGACTAGTTGAAAATGTAATGAAAAATTATTCATTAACTATTTGAACTGATTGCACTAAAACTAATTACATAATAAGAATTCAGATTCTTTCTGATCATCTTCACTACCTGAAAAATTTTCACAAGACTATGTTGCTATAAGAGGCTATTCACTATATTACAAAAATAGGTAACCCACGATGTTACTAAAATATATTTACGTGGTAACCGAGGTATGTTCGTTAATGCAGTAGATGAGCACAGATTTCCACCTTCAAATTTAACAGGCATTTATCTAAATATTGTTTGTTTTTGCAAAGCACCGTATTTTTCGTGCAACGAATTGTAATGAGACTGTACAGTTTGCTAACTGATGAAACAGAAAACATTACATCTCTTCAGAAATATAATACTTTGCTCAAAAGCAGAGAATGGAAAAATTCGAATTCCATGAAGTTGTACGATTGCAAATCTTCAAATTCCATGAAACTGTATGAAGTCAATCAAATTTTATGGATTAAAATCTGGACATGATGACAAATTTGTGCAAGTTTCCGTTTCCCCTTCCCCAGAAAAACAGATCATTGCGTACATGGGAAAAATGAAAGTGAAAAAAAAAAAAAAAATTACAAAAGGATTTCTTGAAAAAGGTGTGTTTTATTATGGATGTTTCTTGCTTTCTTAATTTTATAGAGTCGTTGCTTTTTGCACTGATTCATTGGAATTCCAGTGTGGTTACATTTTTTAAATGGCTTTTGCCTTTCACCTATTAGCTCGGTGAAAAAATTTAATTACCAAAGAGTTGGTGACTTTGGTGACCAAAGAGTTTGCAGATAATCAGAAAAATACCAGAATTCATTAGATTAACTCAAAATGCATATATAGTTTGTTTTTCTTAATTCAGAACATCAAAATATAGTACCTTATGATAAGCTACAATCAGAGACAATAAGGAGAGAGTTTTGCCTGTACCTGAAGGCATTTCCAGTAGTCCATGACCCTATACAAAATAAAACTCGTCATAAAAAATACAACAGCATTTTGAATCATAACTATTACAAATACAATAATAATTTAAAAAATAAACTGACATAGTTGAAATATCCAAAATTAATAAATAATACAACTGTAGTTTTTATGAACAACTTGTCAGCTTCGTTAGCTTAAATCCAAAATGGTACTACATCCTTCTCCCCCCCCCATTCATCTGTTTAGTTTTACATTAGTTCCTTAGCCATCATAATACCGATTTTTTACTTTAAAGAGATAAACACAAATGCTCTCTCTGAGCAATGCTAAGTTATATTAGTCGACTGTTAGCATTTAATGCAGATCAATACCAAAGATTGTATTTTCAAAGCCAAATTTTCTGCTACTATAATTACTTTTGAAAAATATAAATTTCAAATATACTGATCAGAATAAGATCTCTACCATTAATAAACTAATACATACATTATTATTATAATCTGGTTTTAAAACTTAATTAGTTTACACTGGAAAAAACCAAAAAAGTAGAGATGAGAAAAAATTACTGAATAGTCTATGAAAGTAAAAAATTATGAACTGATGATTTTTAATCTGTAATGATTAAATAAATGAAAAATGTATTTAAAAATTCTTAAAATATATAAATATTAATCTCTACTATTCAGTGCTTTTTAGAAAATAATGAATTTCATTTACAAGTATTTCCGATTTGTAATTAAAGCAAAACAACTTCTCTCCTTTTTTAATCTACAGACACATTTCCTATTCTTGCTTCGGTATCATAATTTTTAAATTGATGTGCATCCTACGTGATTTGTTTTGATACATTATCCTTTGGCATAAGAATACATGGTTAAATTCTAATAGCAGTAAAATGACATCAAATTCTTTTTCCAGCAGCTGAATGGACTACTAATAGCAGGAAATTCCTATAGCTAATACAAATCAATTTTGTCTGAATATTCGGCTAATATTCCAGAAGCGGGGTAAGATGGCACCAAACTATTTTGGCCTTCAAAATTTTTGACGGCAATGAAACCACTAAGATGTGATTTTTAAACATAATCAGAACAGTAACTTTTAAGTTTTGCAGTAGTGAAATGGTGTTATGTTATGTAAACAGAATAATAATATAACATGATAAAATACTAAATGAGAAAGGTCCATCAGCTTTGTAAGTAAAAGCATAGCCATGAAATTGAAAATTTGGCTTTGAAAATATGTAATTCATGTTAAACTTAATAATGAATAATAAAATAATAAATTGTATAACACTTTCCTCGGACTCCAAAATTGTTAACCAAGTAAATATATTCAAATTCACTAACAACGGATGCATCATAAACTCGCAAAAAATATAAGTTACTATTGTCGTGGAATTCAAGACACTAAACAACTTTCCTTCAAAACTTTAAATACTCCACATCTTTCGATTGCCACATGTAAGAAACAAAACTTTAAAAAAAACAATTAACTGACCAGGAAAACATTAACTAAATAAAACTAGATGAAAACATTCATAAATTATAAACTTCATGTCATCTGAAATCCAACATTCTCCCACCACCAACAGCTTAACCTACTGCAAATATTAAACAGTAAAACTTTTAAAAACAAACACAGTATTTCAAAATTAAATTTTTAAAAAAAAATCTTCTGGCTACACCAAACTCGCACTCATTGAAATAAAGCTCTAGGTTTGCCACAAGAAAACATATAGTCGGAAACCACAATAAAATCAAAATCGCACCAAATAAAAAAACTCTTGCCAAGTTTGGCACTCACCCTGGTTAGGGAATATTAACCGAATACTCAATAGAAATCCCAAACTCTGGTATTAATCTTAAGAGCTTTGATATAATTTAGTCCTTATTTATGTTCTGATGTTAAAACATATTTAAGATTAATTTACGTCATACAACAACAAAGGTGCTAAATATTATAATTCTCATGTTCAAATTAATTCCTATTCGATTATACAGATCACAGATTGATATATAAATGTTCAGCCCTAATTTATTAAGTTTATAGGAATATAATGTGATAACCATTAAATCTGCAGTAACATATAGGAAGCAAAATGGTCAAATTGACATGTAATATAGGACAAATTTTCAGCCCTGTACACCATCTAGAATCAGTGAACAAAAGAGGGGGGAAGATGTGTTTACCATGGAGAATTGTATGTCCTTCTTATTTGACTAAAAGTAAACAGTATACAGAGAAGGCGAGAAGATGGATGATGAATTTATTAAGGCGAGAAGATGATATAAGAGAAGGTGAGAAGATGAAGAATCATATTTCCTTCTCATTTAATTAAAAGTAAACAGTAAAGCTTGATGGAACATACAACAGTATATATTCAAATTTTATTGAATATCATTACTATGGACAACAGTATGACTTTACCAAACTGTTGAACTATCGCTCACACTGGTCAAAATTTGATCACAATCAAATGAATATGAAAGCAGTAGCTGCTGGTAGGATAAACAGAACAGCATACAGGCTCATAATGACCTCAATGCCTGAAAGGATAGACATCTTGTGTAAATAACACTATGGATCATACAGCCACATTCTATGTCTTAGAAGAGGAACTATAATATATGACATAGCAAAAGATGTCTGCACATAGGGTGAAACATTATCAAGGGGCTTGTGGACTTTTCACAATAATCATTACTTTGCTTAGCTTTAAAGGAACAACACTGGCATCTATAGCTACAAAAAAATACTGAATGATGAACATGAAGAACACAGTCTTCTCAGAAGAATCTTTTTCTGCATGCAACATCATGTTGAATGTGTGTGCATATGGTGTCCAGAGATGTAGTTAGTGTTTTCAGAAACCAGAGATAACTGAAGATTTTGTGTCCACTCTTGTTAATATAATAGGGATAGGTAATAAAATACTCCCTGGATGCTGCACCCGTGAACAGATTCTCCCTTGCCCCCCAGGTACACCACTGTTGGTGCAACCATAGGAAGTACTCACTTAAATCTTGCCTAATGTATCATCATACCAGTTACAAATTCAGCTAATCTTTGATCTACCTATCTGGCACTCTGAATAGTCATAATATTACAAACATGTTAAAGCCTACGGTCATCTCAGATATTCAGAAGCAACTTATGGAAAACTTCCCACAGAACACTATTACGTGATTATGTTTTGTTCAATGTCTGATGTTTTCTTAATGTACAGACACCTATAGTTTTGCCTTAGCCAGAATGTTCACCAGAGATTTTTCTAATTTAACACATCTGATCTGTAATAATTTGCATGTACTGTTATGACAAAGATCACCAGCAGCTAAGTAGATGAATTCTAGCAACAAATTACTGCTGCCTATATTGCAGTACCCCAAAATGCCATTTAAAGACTCTTCAACTCTGCTCCTCACTATATACAGGTACTGGTCAACTTATTATATTAGTATACATTATGTCAATACTGATCATAACACATTCTGTTTAACTTCTCTGAAATTTTAACAATTTCATCTTAAGTAGCAGCGTATCTGTTGGCAATTTAAAGAACCAGAGTTTGAATCCTGCTGACCACAGCCAATTTTTCATGTTTCCTGGTTAAAAAAAAAAAAAAAAAAAAAACTCTAGCCCTACAGTGCACTTGATTAAAATATGATGGGCAAAACTTCATCACCACCTGAGTTCAGTTAAGTGGATTTTTTCACCTCTTCCCAGTTACCATTTAAAAAGGAAGAATAGAAAGAATTTTTGCCTTCCACACCATGTGCTATCATGGTGCAAGTGGTAGCATGTCTACCTGGAAATCAGAAGATCCAGAGTTCTAATATAAGTGAGAAGGTAAAAGTATATTTAAGGGTACCCCTTGGTGATTTTTAGTGGTACATGGATGACGAGTTTGTGCAATTCTTTGACTTGTTATTTTGGCTTGCGTAGCGACGACTTTTGCATCAAAAATCGGCACTACACAAAGCCAAAATATCAAGACAAAGAATTGCACAAACTCGGTATCCAGGTACACATCAACCCATTTTCACTTGAAAAAATCATCCCAGAATTGCACAAAAATGGCAATGCGCACTCGCTTGACTTTATCCATGTACACATCGACCTATTTTCACTTAAAAAAAAAAAAAAAATCAGAGAATTGCACAAACTAGGCTTTGTGCACTCCCTCGAGTTTGTCCATGTACACATTGATATATTGTCACTTAAAAACTCAAAGGAGCACCCAGTTCTACAGTAAAGGCAAACAAAAAATACATAACCTCAATAAACTACATTTTAAACCAAACAATAAAATAACATAAAAAAGGTAAAACCTTTTATGCATTTAAGCACTACACAAAGCAAATATCCACTTAACCCATATTTAGAAATTCCTTCGTCTTCAGTCAGTGGCACACAGAATTCCTCAACAGCATCCAAACACTTAATAAAATTATCTAAACTAGAATCCGTATATCGGTTTTGCCACATAAATTCACAAAAATAAGAGTCAAAACTATCCTACATAATTCTGGACTGTCCGCAAAATGGCTACTAAGTAAACCTTCATTTACACACCAGTCAATTAATGCACTTTTCCCCTTTCATTCCAAATCATACAGAAACTTCAAATTAATCTTACTGCATTTGGCATTCTACCGTCTAAACAATGAAACAAGCAATGTACTTCTTAAAGAACACGCACCACAAAAGCCTTTAAAAAACATCACAGGATTCACAATTTCGCAGAATAATGCAAACAATTACATTATAATAGGGTTTCTATAACATTCAACTACTTAAGTTACCATAAATGAAACAACAAATTGGTGATAAATGAAAGAACTTCGCGATAACACAAGGCGTACCCTAAAGTCAACTTTAACCAAGTGAGGATATAACTGCTTTTTATAATTTTTGCTTCTAAAATTCTAAATACAGTCAAAAGTCGTTAATCCGGACTCGTCGGGACTTCGGCGATTCCGGATTATAGATCATCAGTTTAATCTCGTAAGATGGCATGCGGAAATTCTAAAATTAAAAATATGAAACCGTAATTTATGAAATGAAGAACAATTATGATCTAAAAGGTATCAAAATTTACAAAAAAAAGCTTAATATTTATTTGTTTACTTTATTAAACATTTCTTTCACGTTGTTTAAGTTGTTTAAGTTAAGTTGCTTCGTTTTATGTGATAATACTTTCTCTTTAATTCTATAATTCAATAGTGTATTTAATTATGGCAAAGCGCACTAGGGCTATCTGCCTAAGGGGAGGGACGCCTTCGTGGAGGACTTTCTAAGGGAAACTGGCTCATATACACGTTACACATGGGTAAAACCACGAAAACACCCATGCAGCTAGCCCATTCGCGGGAATCGAACCTCGGACTGAACTACCAGTGTTCAGCGACTTTACCGCTCGGCCGCTGGTGGGCCTAATTAATTCTATACACAGACATAATTTCTTGTTCAGTTACAAAGTTCCGCTGTTCAAGTCCCGTAATTGCTGTGCCGAGAATACAGACTAACTTGTCAATCGAAATTTTTTCGTTTTCACTAACCTCTCTGTCACCTTCTTCATGTCTTTATCCATTTTTTGCAGCAATTCCACTTTTTGTTTGATGGACATTGAAACATACTTTCGTTTTGTAGATCCTTTGGGAGCTCCAGCATCGGAAATTCTATTTGACATAATTGAAAGTTCAAGTTTACTTTTATAAAATTGCTCTTACAGTCTGCAAAAAAATAATAAGCCGCATCCAATTCGAAGATTAAGCAACAACACAATCATCAACATTAACTGAAATAGATAATTTTAGCTTATACCGTCCGTTATACATTAAACGCGCACACGAAAACGTATTCTACACTTGCGCACACGCACATGCGCAGTCGTAAAGGTCTTACGTCCACGTGTAAACGCCTATGCGCATGTGTCAAAGCGCCGCATGCGCAGAAATTTTATAGCTTTGAGGTGCGGATTATAGATCATTCCGGATTATGGGTGTCCGAATTATCGACTTTTGACTGTATCACTACACATAATGTATTCTGAATCAAGGGCAAAAATTTTACAGATCATCATACATCAAAAATTAATATGAATTCTTTTAATTTAATATACAAAAGTGTCTTAAAACAGAAAAAAAATTAGAGATTACCAACCAAAAATTAATATGAATTCTTTTAATTTAATACACAAAAGTAATAATAACAATAATAAAATTTTAACATAAAAATATTTGGCTCTACTCTAATATGCGCCCTAAGATCATCAAATGTGTTGATACGTGTTCTGCGCTGGTTTTTGGCATAATTACATGTTGTATGGCAACCCTTTTGACGTTGAATACTCCTTTGCTGGATTGGTTTAATTGCTCGTTGGTTCATGTCGTGCATGTTTTGAAAGGCCTATGTTGCAATGAGAGATGTGGTTGCAAGAGGGTCTGGGAGATTATTTTTAGTGACTGTGCATGACAGAAGTAAAGAAATACTGATGCATTAAAGAGTATTAAAGTACCTGAAGTATTAAAGAGTGGATTGAGCCTTGTACAAAAAGAGTGGATTGAGCCTTGTACAACTATTTTTTCGGATTGCTGGAAATTTTACAAGGATTTAGGAAAAGAAGGTTTTGAGCATTTATTTGTGAACCATAGTACGAATTTTCTGGATAGTGCGTCTGGCTATCATATAAACATGATAGTGATTACGTGGTGGCATGAAATTGGTATTTCTGCTGTTCGAAAGGGCATTCATTCATGGTAAGCGCATTTTATTTTATTCTTATTTTGTAGAATGTTATGTTCATTGTTTTTACTTCCTTGTACGAAGTCAAAAGGAAGTATTTTAGTATGAATTTCTGTCATTATTTTTTTTAATTGCTTCAAATTTATTTTAGTTGATTAGTGCATAATGCCTAGATTGTGCAATTCGTACATGTTTTTTAAAGTTGAAACAGAATGCTGTGTGCATGGTATTTGGTAAAATCCTAGTAAAGTCAAAAGTCTTTAATCCGGACTCGTCGGGACTTCGGCGATTCCGGATTATCGATTTTTCCGGATTATAGATCATCAGTTTAAATCTGGTAAGATGGCATGCAGAAATTATAAAATTAAAAATATGAAACCGTAATTTATAAAATAATGAGCAATTATGATCTAAAGGGTATCAAAATTTACCAAAAAAGAAGCCTAATATTTATTTGTTTACTTTATTAAACATTTCTTTCAACGCGCGGATGCGTAAAGCATACCTTACGCATAGCCGAAATTAGAAAATTGCAACCAGAAAACTATTTGATTTGTATTCGTGATATTATAATGACGAGGAATTTGATTTAAATCATATCAAAGACGGAGTACACCGAAATTAAATACTACATTTAGTAAGGAATTATAAGCCGAATAAAATAAAAACATCTGCCCTGAAGATAACGATAGTGTTGACAAATCAACTTCCAGTTCATTGTGCGCCGCGACATCCCCCCCCCCCCGCGCAGAGCAGCGTGAAATTGATAAACAGATTTCGGAACGGTTAGATAAACAAAGAATATGCCTTTATCCATTTTTTGTAGCAATTCGTTTTTTGTTTGATGGACATCGAAACATACTTTCGTTTTCTAGATCCTTTGGGAGCTCCAGCATCGGAAATTCTACTTGACATAATCGAAAGTTCAAGCTTACTTTTAGAAAATTGCTCTTACAGTCTGCAAAAAAATAATAAGTCCGGATCCAATTCGAAGATTAAAGAACAACACAATCATCAACATTAATTGAAATAGATAATTAGATAATTTTAGCTTATACCGTCCGTTATATATTAAACGCGCACGCGAAAACGTATTCTGCACTTGCGCAGACGCATATGCGCAGTGGTAAATGTCTTGCGCGCACGAGTAAAACGCCTATGCGCATGCGTCAATGCAGCGCATGCGCAGAAAGATTTTAGCTTTGAGGTCCGGATTATAGATCATTCCGGATTATGGGTGTCCGAATTAACGACTTTTGACTGTATACTGTGCAGCCTTGGTGCGACTTTGAAAATTATTGCCAACACCCAAATGACTCGTTTAACTACTCATCATATATGTCCCGTTTACTGTTCATCATAAAGTCGCCAAAAGTAGCCAAATCCCCTTGTGCACCGGATACTAGGATTAAACCTGGTATTCTTTGAAATTGTTATTATGTTAATTTATTAAAGCAAGGTAGTAGATTCTTTCGCTGCTTGGATTGTGCAATTCATAGATGTTTTTTTAAGTTAAAACATATCGCTGCGTACATGGATTCTTGTCAAATAATTTTGGTTAGAAACTTTATGTTTTTAGTTTTGTTTCAGATTTTTAGCTTAAATGTGTTCAAAACGTGGTTTTTGCATGTGCGAAAACCACGTTTTTGGAGACATTTTAGGCTTAAAGTTCGAAATGTGGACAAAAAATTTAGATAGTAATATGGCACCGTGGAGCCAAAAATACTTGGCGAGAAATTTGGCAACTCGAGAGAGCATATAACAGTAGTTCCAAATATTTAATATAAAATAATAATAAAAAAATAAAAAGCAGCTAATACATAGAGTTTAGTGAAATGTTAAAAGTACATCACAATGAGTTTTACCTTAGCATCTAAACTGCGTTTCAATTCAAGCATGTACGAATACTGTTCAGGATATATGAAATCATATGGGAAGTACACTAGAAGGCCATCTATATTCACTCTAAATAGAAAGACAAAAATTAGACCCAAAAATATTAAATTATACTTTTGACATCTTCCTAATATCAATATAAACTTGGGTTTATTTGAGCCTATCTAAATAAACAAAAGGTTATTGCAGAATGATGGAAAAGTTACTAGCACAAGCCATAGACATGAAAACAAAAGTATCTAATAAAGTATAAGGCTAATCTTTGGAATATGGTAACAGGTAGTTTGGCGACATTTTTATAAGGTGATAAAGGTTACTAGCTAGGACTTTAACAGTGTACATGGATAAAGTCAAGAGTGTGCACAATGCCATTTTTGTGCAATTCTGGGATTTTTTTTAAGTGAAAATAGGTCGACATGTACAAGGATACAGTGTATGTGCAATTCTTAAAAACACGGTAAGCAGTGGGCGATTCTGCACTTTCTCCCAATTTCGCACCTAATCTTCGTCATGATTAAGCACTTTTGTTCCATAAAAGTTCTAGCATAAGTGTAATTTGGCTACCAGATTGTTAGAAAAAAAATGTTGAGTAAAAAAAAAAAATGCCTTTGCTTCGTGAAAACAAAATGGGGTCCAAAAAAAAAATAACTAGCAGGTTGCTGTAGCAGAGTTGGTCGCCAAATTTTAACCAAGTTACCATAATCCAAAGATTAACCAGTAAGAATATTAAAAGTAAAGTATGCGAGATAAAGAGCAATGAAAGCAGATGTTATTATGGTCATTTACAATTTAATGTCTTCATTTTTAATGTGCATACTTTTTTTTTAATTACTGATTTCAATTTGACAATCACATAAATTTGCTTCCAAGATTAAAGTAGAAGCAGTTTGTTAACAATATTTTTTCATTATTTATAATATAAGCTATTCATCTCCCCTGCGTTTTTTTTTTTTTTTTTTTTTTTTTTTTTTTTTTTAAGCTGTTACAGGAATTAACCACGATTGTCAGGTAGCTGCGGACATTATCTTCAACATTAATTAATTTGGAGCCTGACTTTACTTCTTCTGGAAACAATGGCACAAAAAGTAAAAACGTAACTAAATGCATTGATCAAAAGAAAAAGGCCACCAAATGCACTTTTGAAAATTTTAAGTACTAAATACCGATTCTCAAACAAATTAGGTAAAAGATTTTGGCATCTTTTAAAGGCAGTGTTCTTAATGGTAAAACAGTACACTATTTAACTATCAAAATAATATAATCTGAATGTAACATGGATTTCCACAAAAATATTTTGACCAGAGCTTTTCAAGCTGTATGAAGTACAAAAGAATAGAAACTTAATTTTGTACCCAATTTATTGCTAATTTCATATTTACTTACGATTATATTCAAGGCAAACATTCAAATCAGGGAAATTTGTGAAAAATCAAAGTCCCAAAATATCACGATTTCATACTTTATTAATACGCATCAGAATTTAAGTTTTGTTTTCCCCTAATTTACAATAAATGTAATTACAATAGTTAAAAATATTAAGCACTAAACATATCAACAAAAAAATGGGAAATTTTTTCAAAAGAAATATAAAAAACATAATTTTATGCACATACTTCATATCTAAGCGTTATGTTACTATTCCCTTCTTATGACATGAAGATACACGAAATGCTCAATAAGTTTATGAATTAAACAATAATTAAAAATTACGAAATTATTTCAAACATTAATTTATTCCAAACAGTCTACATCCGTAACATACACTAATAGTGTGCTCTACGATCACGCAAATCATAGAGAGAGTACATAACTTCTCATGCGTCTTGGTTTACCGGGAGAAAGAGGAGAGGAGAGACAGATGCCTTGTTTTGCACTCTCTATATCTTCCTACTCATAGGGCGAAGAGATTTTGCCCTAGGAGATTAGCAAAAAAAATTGTTTCATTTGATGCAAAATTCAGACAGACAGACAAAGTAGACAGATGTCTTGTTTTGCACCCGCTAAGTCCCACAGTCGGCAAAATTCCCAAAAGGAATAATACAGAACTCAGCAAATCGGAACCCGGAAGTGTGTTCTACGTCATTACTGGATATGTACCTTTGATATCTCCGTTGGCAGTAAAGCTTGGCGGAGCATTTGGCGTTATTTTTTTCTCGCGTAAATTTTTCCGCAAGCTCAAGAATTGGCGCCAATTTAGTTTAACTGCTAATTAGCAGCTGTGATGTGTGTATTTTTTTGCGCCATTTTTCTCGCTTCATTTGAGCTATTTACTTCTTTTCTTTAATTAATAATTATTTGTATTTTGTTATATTTATGAATAGTGTTTGATTTGATTTTCATTTAATTTATAGTTGCTTTTTACTTACAGCGTATTTAATTATAACAGCATATATAATTATTGATCTGTGTTTCGATTTGTAGTTGTTTGTTTTGCCGATATGCAACCAAAAAAAGATGAAATTACTTATAATTGGAGATTCAATGGTTAAATATTTGGATGAATATATTTACCGGCGAATCTTCTGAATTATGAAATAGATTTGCATTCTTTTCCTGGTGCAACGATAGAAAGGTTAAGACGCAAGATATCCTTTTTGGACAATCGATACCATTTGATTTTGGTACATGTTGGTACCAACAATTCGGATGACAGTGGTTGAAGATTGTTCTTAAAAAGTACGATTGCCTCTTTAAGGATATTAAACGTTTGAACCCGAATATCAATGTTATCATTTCAGATATTAAATAATGGATAACTGATTAGTAATCCTATGACATATTTTTCTAAGCCAAAATAACACATAATACTACACCAGCTTACATTAATTAAGATTAACATTATTTTTTTCAATCCTACCACGTGGTGAAGATTTTTTCACAACTTTAAATCAGCGAGTAGCAGCTTTGAACCGTTTACAGGTAATTAATAGAAAGATTGTAGAAATTAATTAATTCTCAACTTGAAAAAGTACTGCCAAAATCGAGAAGCGTTTTTTATTTGCAGGTCGTCTCATCATTTTGGAGCTAAGTTATTGGCTAGGGATGGATTACATCTAAAACCGTCTGGGGAACAAGAAATTTTCGGCAGTTTTTCTGGATAATATCAAGATTGTTTGGACTTCACAGTCTGCTTCTACAAAGGTAAGTCCTTTGCCTTGTGTTTCATTTACTGCATTGGATTTTCCACCTCTGAGTGATTCTATTGTTTCTGCAAGCCTTTCTTATCCTCTCTATTCAACTGTTTTGAAGCATGGTTGTGCTGTAGATGCTACTAATAATGCTAATTCTGATTTGAGAAATGCTGCTAAAGCTGCTTCTGGCTCTCGGCTGAAGAGTGTTACTATTCCTGATGCTGGATCTCGTTTTAAATGTGTTATCTATGGTGGTGACGCTTATTCAAGGAATGCTCTTAATCCCACAATTGTTTCCAGTTTGCATCTGCAAACTGATACCACCCCTGACTCACATCCCAAAAACGTTAAGAAACCTCCCGGTCTCTTTCCATTGCTGGCCATGGTGGTGGATCTTGCCAAAAGAACGTTAATGTCCGAAGAACTGGTTCTGGTTTGCATGTGAGGAACGAGACTAAACCTGGATGTCATCCTAGAATGTTGCCATATGTAGTGTTGGCTCTCATTTTAAGTATGCCAATGGTTTTAGTTCACGTCCAAGGAATGCTGCCGTCCCTCGTTCTGGTTCTGATTTGTATCCAAGGAACGTTGCTACCCCTGGCCTAAGTCCTGAGAATGTTGTCATTCCCGGTGTTGGCTGTCATTCTAGATTGTTGTGTCCGTGGTATGGCTGTCATCCGAAGAATGCTTCTGGTTTGCATTCAAGGAATCACTCCCGCCCCTGCTAGAAATTGATATCCTTGCTGATGTGGACTCTTCCAGGTGTTGCGTCCATGGTCTGGCCGTTTCTGAGGAGCAGTGCTAGTTCCACTGTAATTCTTCTACGAACACTACGTCCCAATTGCTGTTTGGGATGTTTCCATAACGGCACTTGGCGAAATTGCGGATTTGTTTACATCGGAAGTGAGCGTACGTGCGCCAGAGTATGGTAACCTGATAATTGTTGCAACCCACAGGGAATTTTCCTGAAGGAGGAAAGGGAAATTTTTCTGTTTACTTTTCGAACATTACGGTAGAGAAAATAAAGTTTGAAAGTCGCAAATCATTATTAGTTCATATTTCGCAAACGTTTATGGGTTATTTTTCGAACATTACGTAAAAGAAAATAAAGTTTTTTATATTTCGCAAAACGTTTATGGGTTTGGGGGAGTTAAAAAATGCAGCAAATTATTATTATTAACATAACAAAATGTTCCTTTTTAGGTATTATATATGTTATAAATATTGCTATTGCCATGAAGACAAACTGGGCAAAGTTAAAATGATACCAACAACCAACAGCATTTAATTTATTATAGCTTTTTCTTACTTTTACTGGAATTCTAATGATAAAATGATTAGTGCTTTAAATACATATTAAATGAAAATATTAAATAGATATGGAGATGCATTAAATATGATTTGGACTAATTAATTATGTATTCTTACATATATAGCTATGCACATTTAATTTTTCTCAATAAAAATAATTAAGCTATCCTTATTATTTTTATATGTCTATACATTTTTTTAACTCTGCACATAGCTACTCAGAAAGAAAGATATGGGTAGGATATAAGAAGATAAAAATTATTAATCTTCCCTTCAAAGTCAAATGGATATAGCTGTAGTATATGATTTCAAAAAAGTAAATCATTAGAATATTAAGCTGAAAATAAAGTCTGAAGGAAAGAGATTTTTCTTAAATTCAAACTGTGCACAAAACCTTTCTAGTGCATTCAAACTCTGAACTGGAAAAAGTTAATTTACTGTTGTGGAACTAATATGAAAATAATATTGTTGACAATATAGTAGTGTACCACCGAAGAATTTATGCTGGGAGAAGAAGCAAAGCTTCCATGCCACCGCAAAGCCAAATAATAACTGGCTAATTTTTACTCTTTTTGTGCATAAAATGTCATAGTTGTTAGTATCTCGTTAAAATGTATTTTATAATAATATAATCATTTACAAATGATGGAAATTTACTTGTCATTAAAACATTTTGTTCTAAACAAACTTCAGCTTATAAAAGAAGTTAAAGCTATTCCAACTTATCCCCATATTAAAGTTTTTTCCATTAAATCAGGTTCATATCTAATGCATCAAAAATATAAATAAACCTTCTTTAGTATTTGTCAAACATCATTTCTCATGGCTTTAAATTGAATGCAAGATTTATTTCACAAAGTTACGTTTTCACTTATGGGGCAAAACTTTTAAATTTGTTATTTGAATCTGTTACATTAGTCTTTATTTTAAAGAATATATTGTATGTCATATGGCCATGAAGGCAACCTGGTTAAAGTAGAAATGAAATTAAACTTTCTAATTAATGTGATTTGAAGCCATTGTGTTATACTTCGAGGAATATGTTATATGGTAAATATGTGTACTCATGTTTTTCCTGGAAAGGGCATAACAGTTTTTTACAGAAATAAGTTACCAACCTAAATCTATTGTCATGTCAATTAAATTTTTCTGAAAGAGCAGGATTATTTATAAGCCAAGTGCTAAACCTTTGTATTGTTACCCTGATCATGAAATTTTAAATGGTGTTTAATTTCTTTTTTCAGGTTGAACTGCCCTTCAATGAAAGCTTTTGCTCGATTGGGGCTGTAATAGCACTAAATGGGACTTTTGTGAACTGAAATCTGTTAGGCTTCCAAAATCCAGAAAGGTAAAGTTTAACTTTTTATTTAAGCCTAATGTTCTTAAAATATATTAGAATATCCATAGGTGACATTTGATTATTGTTTAATAAAGACACCATAACAAAATAAGCTGATTGAATCACCAAATTTGGTAACTTGTAACTTTTAAATATATCCAGACTGTCTGCTTTAATAAGGAAGTAACATACAGTGCATATATAGTAGTGTTTTGATTTTCATTTATCATTTTATTCTGTTTTAAGTATGAGTTCAGCAATGCTCCAACATAAGGTATTCCAATTTATATGAGCTTTAAGTCGTACAGCTCCTTATTTTATTTTGCATATTTATACTTGTTGGTTTGAAATTGTCAATAATTCATAAAATGCTGATGAACAAAACATTACTATGCTGAAAACCTTAGCTACGCCTCTATTAATTATATACAATTGAACACAAAATTGCACTTCCGCGCATACGTTAACGCCAGAACAGAAATATGCAAATTCGGTGACTGACAATGTGGTGCGCAATGGATTGCATGTTGGAATTCCGGTGTGTTGTATTGTTTAAATTGGATATGGTTTCTGAGAGTAATCAGTATTCAGTAGTTATGGCTTAAAGCATCATTTAAGTGAAGATCAAAAGTGGCGAATAATTGGTATAATCGAAAGAAGTCAAATACAAATGGAGGTCGCAAAAGATTTGAATCTGGAGCTGCTTTTTAAGCAATGAATCGGTTGACAGACAGCCTTGGTCAATGGCGATCAAGAGCAACAAGTGCATGATAAGAGCGTTTTATATCCTTGTTCACGCGAAGAAGAAACTGCAAGGGATTTGGTTTTAGAGCTTCATGCTGCCATAGGAACTCGAATTAGCCGTTCTGCTGCTGCACGAAGGCTTAACGAGGTTGGACTGTATGCAAGAAAAACCAATGGTTTGTGTCCCATTCACTCCATCTTCCAGAGGGGCCCGTTTAAAACTGGTACCGTCGTCATGTTCAGTGGAGCCAAAACGACTGATCCCGAGTATTGTTTACTGAGAAGTCCACACATAGTCTATAAACAGTGATTCTAGACGTGTGTTGATCTGGAAAGAGAAAGGAACAAACAACTTCCCTTCTCTTGTCCGTGAAATATACCGTTTCCGCGGTTTAATGCTTTGGGGAGGAATTACGACCAGTGGCCGCATCGGAATCTTTCAAGG